AGACCAGCCTGACAAACACAGTGAAACCCCATCTCTACTAAAAATATTTTAAAAATTAGCTGGGCATGGCAGGAGGCACCTGTAATCCCAGCTACTTGGGAGGCTGAGGCAGGAGAATTGCTTGAACCCAGAAGACGGAGGTTGCAGTGAGCCGACATGGTGCCACTGCACTCTAGCCTGGGTGACAGAGTGAGACTCCCTCTCAAAAAAAATAAATAAATAAATAACACCTCATTATCGGAGACCCTCAATTTATGATGAAGTGTCAACAAGCAGAAGTCATCAAAATAAGAAAAACTTAACTAATGAAGTAAGCTCAGACAAAAATTTGTCATCACTCAAACATTCTTTCCTTTTAACAGGAGTCTATATCCCCAAGTCAGGGTGTTAAAGTCTTTTAAGGGAGAACCACAGGCAAAGACACTGATAAATTATCTGATAGAATTATATCTGCTAATAACTAGAGAATAAAAACCTCAAAAAGGCAAGGCTTGGTGGCTCATGCCTGTAATCCCAGCACTTTGGGAGGCTGAGACAGGAGGGTCTCTTGAGCCCAGGAGTTCAAGACCAGCCTGAGCAACACAGTGAGACCTCATCTCTACAAAAAATGAAAAAATTAGCTGGGAGTGATGGTGTACACCTGTAGTCCCAGCTACTTTGGGAGGCTGAGGCAGGAAGACTGCCTGAGCCCACGAGTTCAAGGCTGCATTGAGCCATGAACATGCTACTGCACTCTATCCTGGGATACAGAGCAAGACCCTGTCTCTGTCTCTGTCTCTGTCTCTGTCTCTCTCTCTCTCTCTCTCTCTCTCTCTCTCTCACACACACACACACACACACACACACTCCTAAAAAAGAAGAAAACACATAGACAGGAACAAAAAAGAAAAAAAGAAAGAAAACTGACAAAGCTTTTTGTATATCTCTTAATGACCCTTTTTACTGTAGAAGCTATTCATTGGCTTAGCCTACAATTTTACTGTAAAAACTGCTCCTCCTCCCAAAAAGGTTAACACTTGATTGTTTCTTGAAATAGCATATTAGTTGCTATTATAACCTAAATTGTGTTAACTATAAACTTATTTTCATAATTTTATTTTCATTTTACCCACTTAAAGTCCCAATATAAACTTTTATTTACTATGAAATTTTGGTTCCCATTTTAAATAGTGATCTATCATCCCGGGATAATAAGGACTTACTGAACTAAATAGTAGGCTAACAAAATATAGTTTCACATTTTACACAAATTTGTGAACATATAACTTTAAGAAGAAAGTAGGACATTAGCATAATCTTTTAAAGCTACCAGAAGTTAACATATACTCTCACAAAATATTCCGTGTTATCAGTGAGAGAATAGATGGTCACCAACTTACAGTGGTTTGACTTCAATTTTTTGACTTTACGATAGTGTGAAAGCCATATGCGTTCAGGAGAAACCATACTTTGAATACCCATAAAATCATTCTGGTTTTGACTTTCACTACAGTATTCAATAAATTACACGAGATATTCAACACCTTACTATAAAATAGGCTTTGTTATATGATTTTGCCCAATTATAAGCTAATGTAAGTATTCTGAGCATGTTTAAAGGAGGCTAGGCTAAGCTAGGATGTGTGGTAAGTTGGGTGTAGTAAAGGCTTTTTTTGAGACAGGGTCTCACTCTGTCACCTAGGCTGGAGTGCAGTGGCATGATCACAGCTCACTGTAGCCTCAACCTTCTGGGCTCAAGCGATCCTCCTACATCAGCCTACTGAGTAGCTAGGGCTATAGGCATGCACCACAATGCCTGGCTAATTTTGTAAAAAATTTTTTGTAGAGACAAGGTCTCACCATGTTGCCCAGTCTGGTCTCAAACTCCTGGGCTCAGGCGATCCTCCTGCCTTGGCTTCCCAAAGTGCTGCGATTACAAGTGTAAGCCACCACACCCAGCCAAAGCATTCTGTACATAAGAAGTTTTTCCACTTATGATGCGTTTATTGGGATGTGGCCTCATCACAAGTCAAGGAGCATCTGTAGTGGATTAACTTGAACATGGATCAGACCAAGTACAGATCCTATTTCAGTTAACAGTATTTTTACAGGATTATTTCATTATCTTCACCAAGACTTTTAAACATTAGATCTAGATAATCACTGCCATAGTATCAAAAGAATATTTTGAGAATAACTAATAAAGGGGATTAATGAGAGCTACATGACAATGAAGGCAATGTTATCATAACACTCTTTTATTATAATAAATGGCAAAAATTTAAGATAATAAACTGATTAAGAATTAAATGGTTTACATAGGGGTTGAATAGACATCCTTACCTGAATAAGACTATCTATGTACACTTCCCACTCCAAAACAATTGTTCACCAAACATGTACCCTTTCTTTCCATTAAGCAAGACACTACTCCAGCAGGAGGAAAAGGGTAAAGACAGAAAAGAGAGTACTAGTATCTTCCTGGGAGAAGTGTAACAGTAGGAAAGTGGGCTAGACTGGAATGAAAAAGTTTATGAATAACTGGATATGTCTTCAGGTTCTAGCACAGAAATGTTTTGGAAGTATCCCTCTAGAATTATGTGTAGGCGGTAGGTAGGTGTCATTGACAAGGTGGGGTGGGTGATAAGGTTGCATGCCTCTGAGGGATAGTGAGTGATAATGGTCTGGCAGAGATGAGGGCAGAGCAGATTAATGTTTTGTTGGTTCAATAAAATAAGAGCAGATCAAATGTTTTCCATGTTTACTATTCATGCACTCCTGATACCACATCTAGAAACAGTTTCTCTCACCTCAAAATGATGCAAGTTCAATATCTCCATTCAGGCAATAACTGCTTTCTACTGTGTTTTATTGTTATTTATACAGGTCTTAATTCTCCTAATAGGTCATACGCCCTTGAAAGTATCCACACCTGAACTCTCACAGCACTTCGCTCAGTGCTCAATGAATTTCAATGGATACACTAGATTTCCACTCTAAAGGTATCATAACACATGTAAAAACGTATAATTGAAGCTAAGAATTGGTATGCACAGGATAGAGACTGTGAAGAATATAGTATTTACTTAAAAAAGAAAGTAATGGGGGGCCGGAAAAGGTGGCTCATGCTTATAATCCCAGCACTTTGGGAGGCCAAGGCGGGCAGATCGCTTTGAGCTCAGCAGTTTGAGACCAGCCTGGGCAACACAGCGAAACCCCATCTCTACAAATAAAATACAAAAAAATTAGCTAGGTGTGGTGATGCATGCCTGTAATCCCAGCTATTCAGGAGGCTGATGCTGTAGAATCACTTGAGCCCAGGAAGCGGAGGTTGCAGTGAGCCAAGATCGAGCCACTACACTCCAGCCTGAGTGACAGTGTGAGACCCTGTCTCAAAGCAAACAAAATGACAGCATACATGGCCTAGATTGTACTTTTTACAAAATTTGACAGTTATTATTTTTGGTTGTAACTGATGCTTGCCAATATGCCCTGAAAGATGAATGCACAGCCAGAAGCCTTTACATGCATGCAAAGGTTGTGCTTTGATCTACTGTTGCAACTATTCTTTTCAGGAGATCACCATTTGTCTCTCAGCCACCTGTTGACCCAAAGTCACTGCTCAAAGAGCTCATTTCCAATGGTTTCACAGTGGGATGGCCTGGGGCTACTGCTTCCTGCTAGACCACAAGTATCCCATTTGAAGCAAGATTTTTTTTTGTCCCCACAGAACAAGCAAAAAGTTCTTTTTTACCTTCCCTTTAAACCTACCCATACAATGATTGCTAAAGTTCCCAGCTGATATGCATGTGTTCCAATAAGTAGCACATCAGAGATGGATTACATCAAATACTGCTGCATTTTTCCTGGAGCAAGTCCCTTTTTGTTATTTAATGTCTGCTAAGTCTCTGAGGTGAGGGTGATGAAACGGTTCATAAATATAGAGGCTGGTGTCTTACATCACTTAGGGAATGTGTGCTAAAGAAGGTAAGCTATGACTGCTATTTCCATACTTCTGATTAGATATGAAGATTGATGCTATGTTGGTACTTCCTACTTTTAGACCACAGTTTTTCAAATAGCAGACTTTGACTTATTAGTGGTGTAATCAATCTATTTGATTTCACAATAGGCATTTTTATGAACAGGAAAGGACAGAAAGTAGAGTGCTTCACACTCATATAATAAAGTTTGTGACATTTTTGCTTCATTTACATATAGTGTTACATATGTGTGTGGACACTGAGTTAGGATGTAACATATTTCTACTGTGGGTCACAGTCCAAAAAGTCTGAAAAAAATGTTGTCCGGAGCACCTTAAAGGCCGTATCAATTTTTGTAATCAGTTTCTCTATTTGGCTATCTTTGGATGGCCAATCGTCTAGATTTTTAAACAAATAAACTACCGAAATGCATTATTTTAAACTTTCTTGCACAGCATGGGGTAATTTTACAACTCTGTTTGAAATGGTCTGGATGTGATGAAGGCCCCTAAGCATAGTATTTCTGCTTAAAAACCTTTTATTCTTCCACTGCATTATTCTAAATATAAAATCAATCCCTCAATATTGTCTGTCACTTATCATTGTACTTCTAACTCTGACTAGGAGCTGGAGATCACAGTAACCAATACTGAAATCTTTCACATAGTACTTGCTATTTGTGTGGACCCACAAAAGTATTTACTTCAAGTCAGTTTTTTAATTTTAATAATATTTAGAAACAGCATAAACAACATGCTTTCTAACCAGCCTTTGGAGCAGGATTTCCAATGCTGACTATACCTTAAAATAAAAAGATGAATTTTCTAATATGAGATTTGAAAAGATTCACATAGAAGGAACTAAATGTTTGAAAGCAAAGCATGATAATAAATAAGCTATATTCACTTTCTGAGATTGTGACTTCAAAATATCAGGAATAGACAGTGCGTAACCAGCTAGGTGCCACTTCTTCCACACTATTTATAAAAACATAATACAGAAGGAAAAATACATACATACATATATATTTATATCTACCTTCACTGTCCTTGAATTTCTTGATTGCCACAATTTCATGTGTTTCCTGCAAAGGAAAAGAAGCAGAAGAAAAGTCATTCTCCAGTGTTTTTCCGACTGGGGATTCCAATTGCCTGGGAGTATATTCTGGGACAGAGTAGCAAGAAGCCAGAGTGTCAAAAATAGATCATCTTCCTCTCCCCCGCCGCCCCTCATTTCTTGGTTCCAAAATTCTTTCTTACCACCCCACAAACATTGTCAAGGAAGGAAAAAGAGAAAGGGAGAAGGTGTGGAGCAAAGAGCAGATATGGTGACAGAATATGCATAGATCATGAATCAGAAGTGTCAATGTCTTGAGGATACTCAAAAGTGCCAGAAGAGTGACAAAGACTGTCATCTGTATTGCGCTCTGAAATCCAGAGACACATTTTAATTGGCCTTCTAAGACCAAGAAAGGGCCTCACCAATACACAGTAGTTGCTGGTAGCAGAAAGCTTCCTCCAAGTCATGTCCCTTTACTTACCTTTTTCTAACAAACATCTACTTTTCACCAGCTCATCCCTATTGATGGCCATTGCAAATCCAAAGTGGGATAAACATTCCATCACCAAATACCAATCATCACCTTCATCCTGCCCTTATTTATCTCTTCTGAATAGAAGAGATAACAAAATTCTGCTTTAAAACAAAATATGAAAATCTTTTTTGTTGTTTTTGGTTGGGAGGAAAGAAAATAAGGGCTAGAAAGGAAATGGAAATGCTAAGAACTAAGTACGACTGAACTAAATAACTTGTATCCAATTCTGGTCTATAAAAGGAATAAAAAAGCTTTTGGCAAAATAATTAGTATAAATTCTTCAAAGCCAACATTTATATGAAAGCCTTCTGAATGACTCAGGCCTGTCCTTTTTTACTCTAAGTGGGGATACTTTCAGATCAGATCTTGTAATGTTTAATGAAACACTGTCCTTACATCAAAACAAAGATTTTAAAATTGGACACAATACCAGGCAAGTGCCATAAATTATGGAGGGAAAAGATACTTCTTAAAGGTATTGTGTTTTTGTTTTTAATGAAGGAATAGGATAATAGGGTACAGATGACTTACATGTACGTATAGGGTACAACTTATTTGTTCATTAAGGGATCTTCTGACTTAAAGAAACTTCTTTTTCCAGGTATTACTGGGAAGGAAGAACTGCCAATTTTAAGTAATGTAGGAGATTATCAGCTAGAATATTATCCCACGTCGTCCAAAGGTGACTCTTTTATGTATGCTACTCTCCCATAATACATGGATATCATGTTCTTACCCTGCTCCTTTTCAAATGGTGCTAGCTAGCAATCTACCTACAGCATAACTGAAAGAACAGACCCTATCAGGAACCTCCTCTTGCTTTTCTCACAGCACAAAGAAAGGGGTAGCTTCCAGGAATAGAGAAAAACTGCGCACATCTCAAATGAATATTGTTCCAGGTAGTGTTCCATCTTATATTCTACTCTAACTGAAAGACTCCCACATACATTTCTTTCATTTCACCCTAAGTGTTAAAACTTTGATTTTATAAAAGATCTTAGTTCAAAACTGTCCACTGATACGACTACAAATTTAAATTTGTAACCGGCACATTTATAACACCGTGAATAAAATTTATTAGTTATTTTTCTCTGGCATTTTATAAATACAATTTACTGTATAAAGCAGGTGGCTAACAAGAGTCAAATAAAATGTTTATTCTTTTATTTATCCTTCCAGGAATACAATGAAAATCTTCATTGAAAAAGAATGAAATGGAACAACTAAAGTTTTCTATATCAAACCAATTCACTGTTTAGTGAAAACCACATGCAATTAAGAGAAGATGGTGGAAAGAATTTAACATTTCACATGTATTCAAACTACTTATAAAAATAATATAAACTCATTATGGAACATACAAAAAGAATATAAAGGATATAAATAGGGTATAGAGAAGACATTTTAAAAATTAACTCTTGCTAATATTTTGGTATACTTTCTTCTGGTAAATCTTTCTCAAATGGAAGTAATATTGGACATCTTATTGTATGTTGTTTTTATTTAACTTGGTATTATATAAGCAACATTTAAAGCTGTTATTAATTTTTAAAACTACCATTTTTAATGGATGGCTGTTTAACAAGTCTATTAATGAACATACTTCAATATCTGTATCTTTATTCCTATAGGGCAAATTCTATAAGTGATATAATTGGTTCAAAGGGTATGAATGTTAAAGGCTTCCAATATATACTAACAATCTGACATCAAAAAAAAGTCATGTCAGTTTCCTTCAGCAGTGTATCAGAATATTCACTCTATAACCATTGCCAAAACAAAATAAAATCATTTTTAAAAACCTCTCTGGCATTCAATGAGATGTTTTGTTCTATCAATTGGTAAGTGAAATCAGGTCCACTAGGGTTAATATTTTCTTGCTGATTCATGGATGACAACTTGTTGCCAAATTCTGTTACAAATCATTTCCCCAGTTTATTGTGATCACTATTTAGAGTTTTGTTGTTGTTGAATATAAATTATATAGTCAAGTTTACTGACATAGGCCTTTGTAATTATGTCTATTACTCTTGTGCTCAAAGTCCTTACTTAGCCTGAGCATGGTTAATATTCATCTTCATTTACGTATCTTGATATTTTAATAATTTAATTTCTTTCCTTAAATATTTATTCACTTGTAATTTATTTTAATATATGACATGGTGAGAGAATCCAGATTTAATATAATTTCTAAACACTAAACCAATTTTCCCAATACCCTTTGCCACAAATTTTTAGTTCTTTGTTACATCTTAGCATTCTTACATATAGATACTAGATGTGCTTTCAGAACTTTCTAGTGAACTCTAGCCTAGTCAAGTCCAGGCTATTGATCTGTTCTTATGTCAGAACCAGTTTTTAAAGTATTGTGACCTTAAACTGTTTAAATTAATCTAAGGTTATAGACACTGATTCTTCTTGTACCATTTTGTTAAATATATTTATTTTTGAGAGCAGGCTTTGACTGTTGAATTTAATTTGTAATTATAGATACATGAGCTATAATATTTTATTTTTTTTTACATATTCAATTAGCTTCACTGTTTACCACCAGTCCTTTACTTGTATGGTTTATACATATTTGAGTGACTGACTTGCATTCATGTTTTACTTAGCCAGAGTGCATCTTTGAAAGGTTTTCTGACAAAGTGTCCTATTTTCCAAGTCTTTGCATTTTTGAACATCTTCACATATACGTGGCAACTTGATAGGCACAGAATTCTTGGGAAGGCAATCTTTTATTCTTCAGAGTCACTAGAAGCTTCAGTGTACCATAAAGCCCTGGACAATGCCATTCATATCATAGACACTCGAGTCTGTATGCTTATTAAAGCAACTTTAATGCAGGAAGGAATAAAGTATCTTCTTGTAACAAAATCCATATACTCAGATATTTTTCCAAGAAGAAAATTAAGGGTCTAATAAGAAGGGCTGCCATTTTCTAAAATAAAGAAATTATAATACTATCATATAAGGCAACAAATGAGGAACAATGACCTGACAGTCTCTGGCATTTGTAATAGAAAAGAAGTATGAGGCCTATTTGAATTTTGTTCCAATATAGATCACTTCTTTTTTCTGCCTAAATACTGTTAGGACTTTTCCTTTTCCTTGAAATAAAAATTTTAAATTATTCAGAATATATCTATAGAGGAGAGTGTGTATATGTGTATTTTTTGAATCAATAATACCTGGAATCAATGAAATTAGAAAAGTCTTCTTACAGCAACCTTAAATGCTGTTTCTACTCCTATTTTTCTATTATTTTCTACCACAAACCTTACAACTTTTAGATTGGACCTTTCATAATTGCTTAGCATGTTTTCTACTAAATTTTTGTACTTAGTATGCAATGTTCACGATTTTATCATTAGCACCTAGAATAGCAGGCACATAGTACGTGTTCAATAAATATTAGTAAATGAACATTAATGAGTTCAAAAGCACTACACAATTTTGTTTTATCTGTTTTAGTCTTCTTTCATTTGTCCTCATCTAAGCCAACTTCGGCATTTTTTGCCTTGCTTTAGCTTATTCACTCTCTATAGAGGTTATATCTTTCTGGCTTTCTTTTGGGAGACTAAGCAGATGTCTTAACTTTATTTGCTCGTTAGAAAAAGTCATTTTCAGAACCATGTGTTGCTTCTAAATCTTCACAGCAATGTTTTATCTGCTGTGTCCTTTCAGTGTTTTCTCTGTTCCACCCTTTAAAACTCATCCTTACTAAGATAGAAAGAGATCCGCCAGGACTGGCATTTGGCTGCAACTTGACCTTCAAATATGAACTGATGCACTCCAAGCCCAATTTTGGAACCTGGCTTGCTAGTACACATCCTTCTTATTGGGGTTGGTTGGTCTGAGGCTAAACTGTCTGGGCAGGGTTCTCTCAATAAGCCAGAAGAGCATATGCCATTAGCTGTTAACCTCATGGCATTCTGGAGACCACATTTCCAAGCACAGCCTGTTCCCATCCCTTTACCTTCGCCACACTTTGCCACAGGGACTCAGAATCCTAGGATAGCACATTCCTCTTCCAATCCTTCTTTGCCTCTTGCCTTACTATATTTAGGACATTTTAGTCTCTGCAAAGATCTGGAAATGCAGATGCTAATGCAGGTTAGTAGGAGGCTGAGAACTCCAGTTCCAGAGGTGTCAGATTATAGTTAACCTCAGTGAGATGGCTGCTTATTTTTCAGTTCCTGTGAGCATGGGTCCAAGTCATTTCCTACTCCCTTTAGATATCTGGCCTGATTTGGGTTCACAAAGTAGAATAAACAGCATGATGTTCAAAACTATGCTTTTAACCCAGTCCTGCTAATAAAATTAATTCTCCCTGGACTTTGCTAGCAAGCGTCAATGCTTAGTTTCTTAATTTGCAGAACTTCATGGGTATTTAATATCTTCATGGGTATTTAATGGAAAGGTAGGAATAACACGCCAAGCTTTATTACTTATTCTACCACCACCCTGAGATGCTATATATAACAAAG